CGTTAGTCTCGTTCTTCACCAGCTTGAGGCACTGGCATCATGTATTGAACAGTGATGATTTCTCCTCGAAGGCCTCTGACAGTTGTTTAACGGTTACATCGAATATGAAGTCACGAGGGGTTTTTTTTCGGCAAAAGCCTTTTCGTGTACCGCTCGTACCATTTGGTGCCTAGTTTTCGTAAAAATAGGCGCACCTTCCAAGCAAAATTGCCTTTGCAAAATTCGACGTGGAACGAACCAAACGTCAAAGCCACGCCAGACTCGGGATCCTAAATAAACTCCGTTGTGCAAGTGGAGAGTGCAAGCTGAAGATTCTTATCGTGGATTCTATCATCTTAAAATGAGCCGCCTCAGATTGAGCTTGTTTTTGCTGTAGGATAGGCTGCAATTGCTCCGCGGAAATAGACAGGGCGGGTTCTGCGTCGCCAATCTGCTATAAGCTTACCACAAGCCTAGATGTTCGTCGTCGTATTACACTTCGTTCAAATCCCCAAAGGAAAACACGAAAGCAAGGGCAGAGGTATGGAGGTGTATTGCCGTATGCTAACAATGTACTTTATAAAGGCATGTACGAGTATGTACAAGAACGGCCTGCAAACAGACCGATCGTGTAGTGTCCTCGGGTGGGTAGCAGCTCGAATGGCTTTCTTCCAACGCACGAACAGGAGGCTTCCATGGAGTAATTCTCTTCTTCTTTCGCCCAGTGCTATCCCTGCCCTTTCTTGCCCTAACAGGTATGATCCAGCTGAATAACTGACCCTCGCTGGTTTCGGTGCCGGAAAATCCAAATGGACACATTTTTCAGTCTATTTTATTGAGGAAAAGATAGACAAGCGCCTTCGGGCTCCCTATTACTGGCACAATGGCTAAGAAGTGCATCGATACAGTAGACAAATTCAAAAAGAGGTTGTTTAGGTAATTGCAAGCGAGCAGCCGCCAGTTAGCCGAAAAGAGTAAACATACACGTCTACTCATTTATTTAAAGTAGCACAATTACATGCATAATGATTACTTCGGAGATAGTACCTCAGCTTATTGCAATAAGGATACCCATCCTCACGAATTCGGTTGTGGATTTTCTTAAGCTCCATCTAGCCCTTTTGTGCTAAGCAGCGGACTAAATAGCGTTTCTGTTGGATGGTTACGAAGCTGCTAAAGTCCGAATCTTTTCCGGACCGGATTTTCTTTCCATAAACGTTCCTTCGGACGCTACCGCCTAGTTTTGTCCATCGTGAATCTCTGTGGCACATAACAGTATCAGCTGGTGTACCACCAAAAATAATCGCCATGATCAAGGCATAATACCGCTCCATCGCGCGGTGTCTGGGCCATAATAACCTCTCAGAACCCTTCGCTATTCGATCTGGCGTCCGACAAAACTGTCTTGTCGCCCATCCTATTTAAGTCCGCCGTTGACTGGATTCTCGAGAGGGCCCTACGTGAAGATGACGGTATTAAGCTTGCACCCGGATGCAGGCTGACTGGTCTCGACTATGCCTATGATATCGCGTTACTAGTTTCAAGCTTTGGTGATCTACAGTCTGTGCTGTCACGGGTGAACGAGGTCGCTAAATTGGCCAGTTTGTCCATAAACGCTGAGAAGACCAAGGTGTTTTCATGTTGCATCCCTGCCCAAGAGAAGTCACCTCTCAGGGCTTATGGCTATCAGCTTGAAGAAGTAAACGGTTTCAAATACCTCGGAGCGAGGTTGCTGCCGAATGAACAGAGTAAGGGTGACATTGTCTCCCGAATCAATATAGCTCGCAGGGTTTTCTCAAGCCTAAGAAAGTGTCTGTTGACCCGACGCGACATCTCCATCATCACGAAGGTTATCCAGTAGGGTGCTTCCGTTCAGTTTGTCCTTCTCTACGGCTGTGAATGCTGGGCTATGCGCGTGCATGATGAAAGAAAACTGAAAGTATTTTATTCTCACTGCTTAAGGACCATCCTTCGAGTGAAGTACAACGACTTCTTCTCAAACGACATAGTCTGCACTCGTTGTGACAACATCACAAAAATATTCCAGGCCATTTAGCAAAGGCGACTGAGGTGCTTTAGACACTTTCACGAGTTCAGTGTTAATATCCTCAATAGGACACCGTTATCTAATTAGAAACTTCAAAGTGGGGGTCAGCTCAAAAAAATGGCTCGGCTCAGTCTGTCAGAACATGAAACTGGTTCTTAAACCTCCGATATTCGGCCTCCGGCGTTCGCGAGAAGAATGGGTTGAACTTTCCACGTCTGCTGCCACGGATCATTACGCGTGGAGGAGCACCATACGGGACATCATCGTGGAAGCCAGCTAGGTCCGTCACGATCGCAGCCGCGCAACAAGTACTGCCCAGTCTTGTGATAAGCTTTATAGTGTACATTAAAGGGTAGGGTTTCCAAGTGGGGTCTTCGCAGGGTCCTTATGTATTGTAGCTGCCTACTTATTTTTTTAAGTAGGTTGAATCACCTATAATCTTCTAGTTTTCTACACGTTGTCCGTTGATCCAGCAGGGGTTGGATGATGGCATTCAACTGCAGAGTGGTCCTCGGCAGGCTGCCGCACACAATAACCGCTTTAGTCAGCATATTAAGCAAAATGTACTTTTTAAATTAACCACGGGAATAATCGCTTTCTTACAAATTTTAAGTATGGTGATTTCCACAATCTTCCAACTTTTGTACTGTGTTAACCTTTATTCTAGTCGGGGTTAGTGGTTCTACTATAAAATGCACCTCAT